TTGTTATAATGGGGGACAAAGCCAAAAGAAATGGTATTAAAATTAAAGATAATTTGAGGATACAATGTAGTAAGTGTAAAGCAAATTTTCCTTTCCCGTTTGGTTTGTTGGGAGATACGTTTGATTTGATAAAAGCTATGATAAAATAAAATAATTTTGTGATGGCTGTTTGGACATGCTAACTTTAGAAAAACAAATCTTGTAAAAACTAGTCTTAAAAATTTTGAGCGCGTGGTGATAATAAATCTCCTTGATTACTTATCGGATAATAAATTAATGCCAACTCTTCAGTCGGGTTATAAAAAAAGAATTTGAAAAAAAAATCTTTAACCAGTTATATTTATAGGTTGTCAGCATCATGTGTTAGACACAATTTCGAAGCATTCCATGAATGAAATTCTAAGAAGATTACAAAAAATTTAAGGTTGATATATCGACTAAGGTCTAGGCTTCCAAATTATATTTTGCTTATATTATATAATTCTATTATATTGCCATAGTTTACATATTGTAATCCTATTTGTGTTATACTACTAAATCTGATCGGCATGTCTTAAATGTTTGCCAAAATTATCTCATGCGTATTTTATTTAATTAAAATAGATTTGAACATGTAGATAATTATTATGATGTATCTAATATCATAAAAGTTAATGATTTATATACTATGAATTCGTTACTGTTTTTTTTTTATAAATTGCATAGATTAAATCAATGTTCTTCTTTATATAGTCAAGTGAATTATTTAACCAATACTCACTCGATTGTTCTCAAAAATAAGCCTGATTTTTATTTATCAAAACCACGTACAAATTTTTTTTATAATTCTGTTTTTTTCTGTCTCTATTCGTCTATGGGATTCCTTGCCTGCATACGTTAAAAATATTACTTATCTCAGCTTGTTTAAAAGAAGTATTTTTGAAACGACTAGAACTAATTAATTTAAGTCTCTCATTCCAATTCATTAGCTTCATTTGTTTCAATTTATTTTTTAATTTTATGAATTAAACGTTTTACTCAAGTTTATTATTATATATTTCTGTTAATTTTGGTCAGGGTGGTCCTAAAGGTTTAGGCCTCGGATATACTGGTAATATAAATGATTTGATTTGGTAAATAAATGAATGGATATAATTGCGTGTATGTGTGTGTATGGACTTCTGAGACTCTTCTTTTGTTACTTATGTTTATTAAGAAGTATTTTGTCTTTATTTGATCTGGGTGGCCCTACAAGTGCGAGCTTCGGGTCTCCTAGCGAATAACATATGTTTTTTCCGCATGTGTTTGCTGAATAAAAGGATTATTGAATTGAATATAAATTTTATTTATTGCTTTTCTAAAAACTGTATAAAAAAAATGTCACCCTCTGAGACACAAGTTATTGTCAGCTACAGGTCAACAAAGAACCAAATGTATTCTATTTACCGGTGAAGACAAAAATATTCAGCAATAGTACTTTGGACCCAAAATATGGAACAAGCTTGCAACCCTTGTTCAACAAAGCCATTCTTACTCGAAGTTCAAATCTGACATCTATAAACTTATAAAAAACTGATGCAATACGATCGTTTTTATCCATTTGACAATTGTTTGATTTTGTTTAATTAATTTACCGAATTGTGATAGACATATGATAGTTTTGTTCGGACAAATAACAGTTAATTATATATCACTAAATCAATTTATTTTTTATCACATTTTTTCCGTTAGTTAAGTGGCCGTACAAGCCTTTTGGGCTTCTGGTTATACTTTAAATAAATACTTTAAATACTTTAAAATTTTCTTCATCCGCATTGCGATCATACAAAAACAAAAAACCTATAAATATATGAAAAGTCATTTAAATACATACACATACATACATGCATAGGTAATACATATTTTAGAAACAAATATTCAAGTAAACTGAAAAAACTCTAACCCTGTTTTGATGTTGTAGATTAGAAGCTTTCTGGCTGAACGAATGTAAGATGGGTACGTCTGTGGATGTCTCTGTCGGGTTGCCATCAAGCTGCAACAGGAATAATTCGATCACATACATGTTCGTCGCAACAAGAACAATATTCATAATATAGTGTATTTAACCATAGCACGCGTGTAACACATCAGGTCAATCACAAAAATTTTTTTGTTTCGCCATTTGGAATTTGTGTTTCAAAGTCTGTTAACTCTTGCGCATTATTTTCGACCTTAAACTTTCAAATTTCATCTGCTCTAAAATCTTGCGACTATATCATCCTGTCCATTCGATATTATTTTTGTCGATTCGACTTCTACTTTAGCTTGCTTTCTCGTTGTTCCTCGCTTCGACTACTGCACTTTCTTATTGAATGGTCAGGTGCACTCACCCTTATCATTTCCTACAATGAGAACAAAATAGACCATTTAAACAAGTGCTTGAGCTAGATGTGCTTCACTAATCAAATTGCACTAGCTTCCCGCTCATTACCGTTTTTCAAACCTGCAGTAATCATTTAAGTAAACCATAACCACCTTATCTTTACGGCCGCTCACATCCTGGATACCACATTGACCACCATTTTTGATTAGACTTATTGAATAACTTACACCAGCCTGTCAACAAATCTATTCCGGGTAACTGTAATTTCTTTTAGTTCTCCTGCCTGTCCTCTTCCATCCGACAACAACAAACTTCATCTACTCGGCAAACATTTAAAGCAGACTTGTTTTTGAAAGCATTCAAGCGTGATATCAGCAGTAATTCACCCTGAGCGCCACTTATCCGATGCACAGGGTTCCGTATAATGGACACAACATTATTATTTTATAAAAGCTTATTGATGACGGTTCAAATGGCATAATCAGTGACTGAAATTGTTACGGCGTCATTTACGAAGGGCAGTCTTTCTGCAGTGTAACTGCAAGTTATAAAGTGCTTCCACTATCTAAGCAATGAAGACGATTCCAACTTTAAAGATTGACTATAATGTTTTGTGAAAATGTTAAGGGTAATATCGGAAAGAAAAAAAGTAACAAATTAAAATGATTATAACTGAAAAAATGAAATATGAATTGGAAAAACCAACTAACTGGTGAATCATCGAAAAACAGCACCAAGAGATTATTGATAATGTCCTGAAATATTTGTTATAAAAACATTCAGTACTTTTATTATTTATTTAAATGTTCCAACTTTTTCGTTTATTTATATTTTTTATTTAATGTTAACTGGAGGTAGTTTAGAAATATGTTCATTCAATCGCAAATATTCCTTGCCCAGACTTCCATGATACTCAAAGGTTATAGATTTGAAAGGAAAAATTAACATTGGTGCGTACGAGAAAACGGGATATCAACTGAAGAATGGGATGAATGGAACGGCAACCCGGTCGTGAACAGCATGGTAAACGCAAGGAAATTGCAATATTAGAATTAAATGATAAAAGAAGGATTTTGGCTGATTAAACTTTTCCAAAACATCCACAATAAACATTTCTAAAGCTTGAATTGTTGAAGAACATCATGATGGAATGATCTTTTACAAAAACTTTTTCTAACAACTTTGCTCACACAAACGTTTATATAATTGAATTGATCATTACATTTAATTTCAGCCACGTGAATTTAGTAAATTGTTTGGCTGATGTTGCCAGGATTTGTAAGAATCAATTTGTAAGTTTTGTTAGTTTTATCTAATTTAACTTCTTATTATTTATATTAGCTCATATTCTGCAACGAACCCTGATTGAACTTTTAATCATCAACGTACATTTTCTAATTGTTCAGTTGAATTAATTTTAACTTAATTTTTCAATAAAAACAAGGTTCGTGTGCTAAGAGCTTGAAAACATTTTCTCTGCTTTACATACAAAGCAAATAATATCATTTACTCTAGATTTTAACAAGGTCATAATTATTGAATCACTTAGGGCAGCATTTGATGTCATCAGCGCTTGTGTGTGCAGCACAACTTGAACTTTCAATAAACACTTTCTACATTAATTATGATAATATCGCAAAAATAGCTGATGGAATCATTAATGTGATGTTCTTAAAAACCTCATGACAACATAATAATAACGACAACGAGGTGGCATCAACTCACAGGGTCAGCAATGGTATCCATGGCGGGCAACATAACAGCACCAGTGAACAACTCTTTCAACAGGGCATAACAACTCCTTATTAAATTTTAATAAATTGAATTTTAATTCATTATAATCTCGCGACACCATGTCAGACAGAACATTG